GTGAATGTCTTTGCTTTGTCTCCTGACTTAATGTGTGTGTGCAGTCCAGCTTCTGTCATGTTCTCATGACTCCAGCTGATCACGAGATTTTTCAATTTGCTCGCTCTAGGCAAAGGTTTGACTGAGCTCCTAAGAGCACGGACCAAGCTTGGTTTAATTACCAGGGAAAACTTATTAGGGGATCAGTTTCCAAACACTGAGCCTTAGGTAAGGTAGTGACAGTGTCTCAGGAGTTAGTTTCTTGCTTTTGACATCTTTGCAGCCTCATGAGCCACCCTAAAGCTCTGTGGGCATGTTCTGTGTGCCCAGCAAGCTCAGCCCTGTTTGACAGCTGAGAGTTTATTCATAATCCGCGCTTCGATCCAGACCGAAGCACACAACCTGTGTTGGGTGGCTGGTCAGCAGCTGAAAAACTCCAGGATACCGAGGATCACACACTTCCTAGGCTCAGCCTGATTCTCCTCTGCTCCCTCAGTACTTGCTGCTTTAAGTGCTTTCTGTCTGTGAAGCTGTGAGGATACGCTGTGCTTGGGTTCCCCGTCGGGTCAGCGTCACATCCCCGGGCTGATGTGCCAGTGTGCGTACGGAGCGAGAACAGGCATCGTTCTGCCACGCTGCCTGCACCACACTTCTCCCTAATGCAGAGACCCTTCCAGTCTCACTGTGTGGCACTTAAACTCAGCCTGAGCAGACCTGGATCAAAACAGCAGCACCTGCTGAGCTCTGTAGGTGTCTCTGTGTTAGAGATGGAGGTGGTGGGTGTCCTCAGCTGTGTGACTCTGGCCGTGTGTGGATGAGGAGCGGAGTGTGAGTCCCTTCCCCTTAGCAAAGGTTAATGCTGTCTGGTACTGCGAGTGATGTCTTCTCCCCTGCTGTTCCTTCGTAGTGACCATGATGATGAAGTTGCAAGCTTGGCTTCTACATCAGGTGGATTTGGTGCCAAAGCGTCTACGCAGAGGCTGCCTGTGAAGGACTGGAAAGCCAAGGCGTCCCCCCGGGCTTCCCCAAAGCTAAAGCGGAAGGGCAAGAAAGATGACGGGTACGCTGGGCTTGTCAGAACGCAGGTGGCTGTGGGACCAGCTGTGCAGGGCCACAACCTGGGGTAGCCATTAGTAGCGAGGACCAGGGCTGGGCTGTGGCCAACTGCTCCCAACCCTCAGCCCGTTTTGCAAATGACAGTAACCCCACAGAAAGCGTTGCTGGTTCCTCAGACACTGACCGCCACTCGGGGTGTGGGGGAAGGTTCTGCCCTACCTTTCCAGCTGGGACTCGAAATCCAAAATACAGCCTGAGCTTCAGAAGGTGTGTGGGAGGTAATTTAGAATCATAGAATCCCAGACTGGTCTGGGTTGGAAGGGACCTTAAAGCTCATCCAGTCCCAACCCCCCTGCCAGCAGCAGGGACACCTTCCACTAGACCAGGTTGCTCAAAGCCTCATCCAACCTGGCCTTCAACACTTCCAGGGAGGAGCAGCCACAGCTTCTCTGGCCAACCTGGGACACTGTCTCACCACCCTCACACCAAACAATTTCTTCCTCACATCTTATCTCCATCTCCCCTCTTCCAGTTTAGAGCCATTTCCCCTTGTTCTCTCATTAACTGCCCTTATAAAAACTGCACATTGTGAGGGGACACTGGATCCGTTTGTTGGTTTCAGTGAAGTCTTCACTGGAACTGTGATGCTGTGAGTACAGCTTAAGGTGGCCTCCATTTCTGATTGCCTTCTGAACGCTGGCACAGTGCCCTCATTCAACAATATCTATCATTTGTTACCTGCTTGCTGCTTTTTTGTGTTTCTAAACATGCCCATATGAATGTCTGGTAAGTGAAAACTGATGACTGGAAAGGTCTGCCCGTGGCAAATGAGACCAACCTGTCTGCATTAACGTGAGGAGAGCAGCACAGCTTCTGCATGGGTCTCTCTCCTCTTCTTGTGTTCCCATAGCTCCATGGTTTGGGTCTCTGGCTGTGCTGATTACCACAAAGATGGGCTATGGCATTAACCTTCTGGCTGTGGTCCTCTGCTGTGACACCCAGAAGCTACTAGCCTCTGAAATAGCTTTGATTTTTCCTGCCTCAGTCCTTTTACAGTTGCTGAGTGGATGCTGAGGGGAACGACAACTGTTTGCTTTCCTTCTGGTAGTGTTTGAATATTCACAGATTTGTGATTTTGATGGAGACATGCAGTACTAGGAGATCAGTTCAGTGTTTTTCTCTATTCTGCTGTATGTGCTGGAGGGCGTCACTAGTTTCTTCACCTTGGTAGCTGGAATCATTCTAGATGATTTGAAGCTCATTAATTCTATATTTAACAAATAGGTACTTGTTTGGTTTTTTTTTCTTTGTAAAATATCAGGAGACCTTCAAAAGCTGTTTGGCAAAGCCTTCCCTGGCTTTGAATTTGAACAAAACTGAAAAAATCAGTGTCTGTTGTTCTTTGTAACGGTCCTCGTTAAGACTTGATTGAAATCTCCTGCAACAGGACCAGTCTGTAAGGAACTTGAGTGCAAATAGATGTGAAGTGCTGTAAGAACTGGGATTTCATCACCTTCCCATTGCTCTTCATGTTATACTGGGCAAAAGAGGAGTATGAGCTGCAGTGTAAAATCTAAAGCAACCAGGAACTGTGTGACCTGTTTTGGCAGAAGCCTTGGCTAATAAGAGCAGTTAATCAACATAACTGGATTACTACGTTTCTCTCTTTATTTCCAGGGATGTGAACCAGTCGCCAAGATCATCTAACAACCAGGTGAGTCAGAGCTGCTCTGCAGGCCATCCCAAGAGCATGATGCTTCAGCTGTGTTGACTGTCTCACTAGAGACCTGAGAGAAAGTTCATGCCAGTTCCTGCTGCTTGGGCTTGGGTTGCACTGTCCCCCCTCTGAAGAGAAGGAGCTGCTCCGTGCTGTCCAGACGGATCCCTGCCTTTCACCTTTCCATATCGACGTGCATTTCTGTGTTCTCACAAGCCCTGTATCAGCCAAGACTCTACCACTCATTTCTTCTTCCCTGCTGAGATGATTTGTGTGTGTCAGCAGCAGAATAAGCTGTTTCCAGCAAAGTAGGGGTTGCAGTGAGATGGGTCTCTTGGAATTTCTTTTCCTTGTTGATAGTACCTTCATATCTGGCAGCAAGTGCTCTCAGCCGAGTTGCACACACTTCTTTAAACTGCCCTTAACGTGTGTTCCTCCTTCAGATATTTTGAGCAGGTGAGGAGGTGAGGAGTTCATTGATGTACACTTCTCCACCACTTGTTTGGTTATTCATAAATAAGTGAAAGAGCTGAAAAAGGTCTGGGAAACCTGTTTACTCTACCGATTGCACAGCTCTTCCCAGAAGTGTTTGACATCATTATTTACACTCAGAGACCTCCACTCTCTCTCAGTACCTGGCTAGAAGTGAATAGGATGTTTTGTTCTGTTTTCTTTTAGATGCCAGAGCTTTGAAGAGAGTCTTGAATCTAAATGGTTGAGGATATTCTAAACAGCCATTTATGAACTGCATGTGGGAACTTCATGTCCCTTTATCAGTTTATTTCTTGAGACAAAAGTCTTACAAATAGGCGTTAAGCTGGCCCTGGTTTTTCCGTTTTGCGTGTCATGCTTCAGTCCTAGGCACAGGGGTTGACTTAATACCTCGCAGAAAGCTTGACTGACCTTCCATCCTGTTAGAAATGAATGTTTGTCCTCTCCACGCGTAGGTAACATCGGAGTTCCAGGATGAGCTGATGTGCATATTGAGGAGCCAACAGCGGGAGCTCTCTGAGCTGCGTCAGAACCAGATGGAGCTGCTGCAGAGACTCACGGATCACCTGGATGCCATTCAGAGCTCCCTCATGGGCCATGTGGAGAGGGTGATTGACTCCCAGCAGGAGCAGGAGCGTATCCTTGTCGGCAAACGTGTGGGAGTTAAGGAGTGGAAGGCTGCAAGGTAGACTAGAGGCATGAGGAAAGCTCAGAAGGTTTGAGGATCATGGCCAGAGGTGCAGTAAAGTTGCCTGGCTGCAGTAGGACTATTTCAGTTCCTCTCTGTCCCTTTCTAAGGACAAGAATCTCAGAACAGAGAAGAACTGAGACTTTCTCCGTGCCACTAAATCCAGTTACCCATTAAGACAGTGAGTGCTGCAGCGGTGGAGTAGACTAGAGGCCCACCTAATGCGTTACCCTGCATCAGGCAGTGGCCAGCTGCACAAGAGTCATTACGGGATGATCCTTTTCTCCTTCAGCCAAGTCAGTGTTTGCACCAGAAATAGCACCAGACTGCCACACTGCATGGCTGAATATTGAATTATCTTGTATATGTGCCCATATACATGATACATCCGGTGGTCTGCAGGCCCCTTGTGTGCTGTCTGAGCAGTACTTTCCTTTGGTGTTTTCAAACCTGATATCCAGTTATTTTTATTTTATTGAGCAGTCGGTTCCTGTGGGTCTTTTGCCACACTGAATTCAGTCGTGCTCCCCAAACTGAGCAGCTCCAGCCTGTTTCACGTCTGAAACCACTCTTAATTTCTGTGGCATGACAGTGATTTCTGTCTTCTCTATTAATTAGTCTTGGATTTTTCCTCTGGACCACCAGGCTGATATTTTCATGGGTAATTCAGATAGCCTTCTACTGAAGTTGAGAGTCTAAAGCTGTATTATAATATGAGAATTATTTTTCCCTATCTGCACAACTTCATGTCTGCACTGAACTTTGTCAGCAGCAACTGAATTGTCTTTTCACAGTTTGTTTTGTTGGGGTTTTTTTGTTCTGTTTTGGTTGTTTTTAAGATGCACGTGCATCTCGGTGTTTGTGTGGCTCCTTCGGAGAGCTCGGTTGCTTCATGAGGTATGACCAGCTTTTATTGAGCTGGGGTTTGCTCCCGTGCACTGTATCGCTCATGTCCACCGATTCCATCCTGTAGAAATGTTTTTACTAATTTGCTGTTTTACGGATAATTGGCTTTTCAGTTTCTGTAGTGGTTTTGGCTGGGACGGAGTCAATGTTCTTCATAGGAGCTCATATGGTGGTGAGTTTTGGAGTTGTGACCAAAACCAGGTTGATAACACGCTGTTGCTAAACCCTCAAGACCTTCTCTGTTTCTCACACTGCTCCACCTGCGAGCAGGCTTGGGGTGGACACAAAATGGGGAGGAGACACAGCGGGGACAGCTGGCCCCAGCTGACCAGAGGGATGTCCCATACCATACGACGTGCTCAGCAGTAAAAGCTGGGGGAAAGGAGGAGGAAGGGGGGGAAGTTCAGAGTGAGAGCGTTTGTCTTCCCGAGTCACCGTTGCGCGTGATGGAGCCCTGCTGTCCTGGGGATGGCTGAGCACCTGCCCACTGGTGGGAGGTAGTGGGTGAATTCCTGCTCTTGCTTGGCTCACGTGCAGGTTTTGCTTTGTCTTTATCTCGACCTCTGAGCTTTCCCCCTTGTACCCTTCTGATTCTCTCCCCACCCCGCTGCAGGGGAGCGAGCGAGCGGCTGTGTGGGGCTGCCCTGCGGGGGCAGCTGAATTAACCCACAGTGTGTAAATACTGTTGAGCTTCCTGTAGCTGTTTGGCTTTCCCACCACACCTCCAGAGCTCTTCACTCTTCACCTGATCATTCGTTTAAGGGCACCCAGTTGTTGTTTCCAGGAACACACCAGCAATATTATATAGACCCCTCTTTCACCAGAGCTGCAAATTCATTCTCACTGAGCTTCTGGAAGTTGTCCATTTTTGTGGGCAGGAGTGTTGAGAGTAGAGAGGAAATAATAGAATCATAGAATGGTTTGGGTTGGAAAGGACCTTAAAGATCATCCAGTCCCACCCCCCTGCTGTGGACAGGGCTGCCAACCACTAGATCAGGCTGCCCAGGGCCCCATCCAACCTGGCCTTGAATGCCTCCAGGGATGGGGCAGCCACGGCCAGTGCCTCACCACCCCCTGGGTGAAAAATTGCCTCCTCACATCCAACCTCAATCTCCCCTCTGCCAGTTTCAAACCGTTTCCCCTTGTCCTGTCACTCTCTGCCCATGGAAAAAGTCCCTCTCCCTCCTGTTTCTAAGCTCCCTTCAGGCACTGGGAGGCCACAATGAGGTCTCTCCCCAGAGCCTTCTCTTCTCCAAGCTCAACCAGCCCAGCTCCCTCAACCTTTCTTCAGCAGAGAGAAGCTCCAGCCCTCAGATCATCTTCCTGGCTCTCCTCTGGACCCACTCCCACAGCTCCACATCTTCCTTGTGTTGGGGGCTCCAGGCCTGGACTCCAGCTGGGGCCTCCCAAGGGCAGAGCAGAGGGGGACAATCCCCTCCCTGGCCCTGCTGCCCACCCCTCTGTTGATGCAGCCCAGGACACAGTTGCCCTTTGGGCTGCAATCACACGCTGCTGGCTGGTTTTTGTGCTCCTTAACGTGTGTTCTCATTAGAGAGAAGACTAGACCGAGTGCTGACAGAAGGACAGCAGCGCAACGGGCAGCTCCAGGAGCATCTGTCTCAGCAGCTCTCTCAGTCCCTTTCCACTGCTGTGTGTAACCGTCTGGAGAGGACCATCCGTGAGGAGATGAAGAAGACCATACCCCAGTGTGAGTGTTGCTGCCTAGGTTTTGGAGGTGGATCCCTGCAGGGACTGAAAGCATGCTGCCTAGAAGTGTTGGCACTATCTGAAGTAGGAGTTAAGTGACGTGAAGACTGGTCATTGCACTTTAAACTGTTGTGGGCCCCACTGTAATCTGAGGAGTTGTGGTCTGGACAGAGTATGAGGCTCCCAGAGGTGATGTGTTTCCAGAAAGCATGGACTGACCTTCCATTATAATCCATAAGGGAGTCTGTTTGGTGGAGGAAGGCAAAAGAGGCTAATGAGTTTGGAAATGTTGAGACTTGACTGGAGCAAACTTAACCTTGTCTTTGCCCTTGACACACTGGTACCAGCCATGTAAGGAAATGTTCAAAGACATGCTGGTGGGAAAGCCTTCTGCAGCCATTGGTGTCTACTCTTCTGCTTGAAGCAGGGCTGTTCTAGATCAGGTCAGCTGTGACTTTGGACAAGTCTTGAAAACCTTCAAGGCTGGGGATTCTACAGCCTCTCTGGTGACTTCCAGAGCTGTACCACCTTCCTAGCAAAAAGTTTCTCCTAACGTCCAACCTTAGCTTCCCAAGTCAGAGCTGTGACTGTTGCCCCTCACTGTGTCATATCCAAGAAGAGTTTGACTCCATTTTCTTTTTTCAGGGTTTGAAGTGTGACTTTAGGCTTAAAGCTGCAACGTTGACATGTTTGTGTTGTGCCTAGGCATTTCCAAGAGCATGGACACCATTGCTGGCCAGCTCAGTAGCACTATTGCTGCCAAGCTCACTGCTGTTGAGGGGACACTGAAAGAGAGTATCACCAAGCTGGTGAAATCAAAGGTAAGGAGAACCAGACTGTAGCTTTTTCTGGGGACACTTGAGTTGTCACCTGCCTGGGTAGTGACTTCTTATACCTCTTCCTCTCACCTCTATCTCCAGGTAAGGTCAGTTTAGGTGACAGTGGTCAAAGCTCTTTCCTGGTCTCATCAGGAGAGCGAGCTCATTGTGTACTCCCCTGCCTGCTTTGCCTCATTAGCTCTCTCTTTAATCTGCCAAATGGTTCATTTTCTCCTCGAGTAGAGATTGTCACTACAGCTGTGGTTTTACAGCCATCTCAATCAACCAAGGGGTGAAAGTTTGACTGGTTCTTCTGTTCTCCATTTCTACATCATTGGGGGAGCAGAAACTTGTTACTTACCTCGGCAGGGAACAGAGGAGAGAAGGCTCTGGGGAGACCTTCTAGCAGCCTTTCAGTACCTGAAGGGCCTACAAGAAAGCTGGGGAGGGACTTTTTACAAAGACACGTAGTGACAGAACAAGGGGTGATGGCTTGAAACTGGAAGAGGGGAGGTTTAGATTAGATATTAGGAAGAAATTCTTTGGTGTGAGGGTGGTGAGACACTGGCCCAGGTTGCCCAGAGAAGCTGTGGCTGCTCCTCCCTGGAAGTGTTTGTGGCCAGGTTGGATGAGGCTTTGAGCAACCTGGTCTAGTGGAAGGTGTCCCTGCTGCTGGCAGGGGGGTTGGGACTGGATGAGCTTTAAGGTCCCTTCCAACCCAAACCATTCTATGACACCAGGCTGTCCTTACCTGGTGTGGGCGTGTTGCAGGGACCCCCGGTGTTGGTTCAACTCTTTATCCTGCAGCAGACTGTTGTTCATTTTCTGGACTCTCTTCTGTGTGTGTTTGTAAGAACCTTACAGATACCATTGTGAGGGCAACGGCCGATACCCTGCAGGGGCCCATCCAGTCAGCTTACAGGGAAGCGTTTCAGAGCGCCTTCAAGAAGACCTGCCAGTCCATGTTCCAGCAAATCAATGACACCTTCAAGCAGGGCACGCAGGAATGTGAGTGGGTTTCTTCTCTGAGTTTCTCTGTACAGTGTATTTGCATTAGTGGCTGAAAATCAGTTGGCCTTCCCTTAGGTCTTTGCCTTTCAGTTTCACCGATGACTCTGTTTAACCTCTTAGCCCATCTGTGTGCTCCCTTTCACACCTGGGAAGCAGAAGCAGGAGTGAGGAGGTTTGTGTGGGTGGTGCTGTAAGAACTGATATTCACCTCTGGTCTCGGTAGCCCGTGCAGCAAAACACTTTGGCCTCATTCTGTGAGTCTGTGACTTCATCTCTTGAGGAGAAAAGCCCAGCTATAGGGTTACCCTGTCCTGCCATCAGGAAGAGGATGTACAGAGAGGTAGCAGTCCTGCACCCGTCTCCGAGGGCTAGATGGAATTGGGGAAGGTTTAGAGAAGGGAACAGGGATGATCAGAGGTTAAATAGTGGCTGAACAGTGTTGGTGTGGTCAGGCTGGAAAAAAGAAACCGGTACTCTTAAGTAAGGAGAACTGTACACTGATGCACTGGAGAAGATCTTTGTTCTTCTCAGGCTTGGGCTCCAGTTCCTTGGCCTTCCAGGAGGCCAGGCAGGTGTTACTCTGCAGAGTGGACTCCTGAGGGGGCCTGAAGTTGACTAGTGCTAGCCCAGCAACTTCTCTTGACCAGAGATCTGCGGAGTGTTTCCAGCTGCTGTTTATTTTTCACCCTTCCTTTTCCTCACAGGTTTCCCACAAGTAAATAGAACTTAAATTCTTCTCCCTTTTGATCAGACCAGTTCCTAAAATATTTTGAAATACAGCTTTTTGATCTCTGCAGACAGGACTTTTTTTTTGTCAGAAATATTCCTCCTCTTTCTTCATTGACACTGAACTCCATCACTAATGCAGATCACAACTCACACTGCGTTTGAAATAAAATACCCTTGCTCCCACCTTTATCCTGCCCTGAACAAACAGTGCCTGTAAAGTGTCTGTCACAAGAGAACTCGTGGCTTTGGTGCTGTATCATGTAATCCTGCGTGATGGGGAGGCTGGACCAGGGTTTCTAGGTTAGTGTAACACAGCCCAAACCAAGGCTCGTGTGTTCTTCCCTCTCTCCTGCGCTCCTACACTGGCTCAGGAATTGCTTCTGCTGGAAAATAGACCTTGGCACCTGGATTTCTGCCCTGCCGATCTCCACAGGTACCGATAGCATAAACATCTTCCTCTCTGCTTCTTGCAGATGTCCAGCAGCTTGAGACTCACTTGAAGAACAAGAAAGTGCGAGAACAGGAGGCCCGGGACCCGCTACTGAATCAGCTTCGACAGCTCATCAGCACCTTCCAGAGCACCACGGAGCAGCTGGCTTCCACCGTGGCGGCCAGTGTCCATGCTGAGGTGCAGCATCAGCTGCATATTATCGTGGGCAAGTAAGTTGGCAGTTGGGCTTGTGGAAAGAGGTGTCAGTGAGAGGTATATGTGTGCCTTAAAAAAAAACCCAAACCTCTCCCTACTTGGTTGTGGAAACCAGCCGTTTGCCACTGTAGGGCTGCTTGTTGGCTCTGTGCACGGTGTGACAAAGCACGTGGGCTGGTGTCACTTGCTCTGTGGGGCACAAAATGAAAGACCACAGAAGGTTTCGAACAACCAGCTGTATTGCTGCTGCACTTGTGAGCTTGGGGCCCGCTTTTCAGCGTCCTGTGTGCATGTTGGAGGACAGAAGGAGTTAAGGCAGCCCAAAAGTACACTCAGTTCTGAGTAGCCTTCTTGTTCTGAAATGTTCTCCTGGTCTTGTGAGGGCTTTTCTTCTTACCTCTGCATCCTCAGGCATACCAACGGTTTCTGCAGGATACCCTGTCCTCCCAGGTGCTCTGCAGCAGTTTGTGCTTGGCCACCTCGGTTTCAAGATGTGATCCTGGTGATGCCTTCAGCACACTCACGCTATGAAGCTGGTGGCAGGTTGCCAGGCATCAAGACTGGCCGGTGGTCACCTGCGGGGCCGAATGCCCCTGTCTGTGTTAAAGCACTAGAACATACCTGAGAGCGCGCTGGGGACTCGGACCAGACTTGCCAGGAAGGCTGCCAGACTGAATTCTGGTCTTGTTGCACGGGCTGTGCTGGCTCAGGGATGTCCTGCTGTTCTCCCTGTGGTAGAGCAGGGATGCTTTGTGCCCTCAGTAAGGGGGGAGGATCTCACCCTTTCGGGGGGGGAGGTGTAACACACAGCAGCGGAGCCTGTGCTGTGACCTGGTCTTGGGTGGAGAAGTCACAGGCTCAGTGGAAGTGTGTTCTCATTCTAAAGGTGTCATCTGCAGGCTTGGAAACTGCACCCCACAGATGGGACATAGAAAGCCAGACCCGTGCGGGGTGAACCTCGAGCTTAGAGCCTTGCCAGGGACATTAAAGCTGTAAAACACTGTGTAATGAGAGACTCTGCTCCTGAAACATCACTTGCCCACACAGAATCCCAGCACCTTCCCCGTGCACCCGGGACCTTGTGCTGATGGTCACAGAGCAGCGGTTTCCAATGTCTCAGAGCCTTTTGTATTAACCCTTTGGCAGCCACGCTGCATTAACCAAGCCTGTGCTTCCTCGCTGGCCCAGCCTTTGGGCAGTGTTGTCCCTCAGCACTTCATTTTCACAGCTGCCTTTGGGTTTTGTTTTGTTCTGGTTTTATTTAGCATGCAGGAGTCTATTTTGGCCCAAGTGCAGAGAGTGATTAAAGGAGAAGTGAGCCTGGCTATGAAGGAGCAGCAAGCGGCCGTCACCTCGAGCATCGTCCAGGCAATGCGCTCGGCGGCCGGGACTCCCATCCCCTCTGCTCACTTGGATTTCCAGTCCCAGCAAACTCACATCCTTCAGCTGCTTCAGCAGGGACATCTCAACCAAGCTTTCCAGCAGGTACCTGGGCTTCCAGGCAGTGGGCGTCACTGCTCGTCAGGGGATGGAGTGGGGGATGACACCAAGCTGAGTGGTGCAGTTGAT